CGTTTTTTATTCTATCCATTTAATTCTATAAATTAAAAAAAAAAAATGTGTTTGCGTAAACATATAACACAGCGAAAATGTTCACCCCTGGTTTGATCTACAAACAGCCAAGTAATTCTTAGCATAAATATGTGAAATTTTGATTACTTTCCATGCAAAATAGTTGCTTGTACATCAGCATGTTGTAGTGAAGAGAAACAAAAAAAAAAAAAAAAAAAAAACCGAAACGAAACGAAACATTTTTTGTTAGTATTACGTGATTTATTACGATTTCATTTGCATTTGAACTTTTATTTACTGAACTGTTCACATTTGCTTCACACAGAATAAAAAGAAAATTGGTTGTAAAAAATCCATTATTTGCTTCACTTCAAGGATTTGTTACAGTTTTTAAGTCACGTTATTCTACATTACTCTGATGAAATTTTTCGAAATTTCCTATTTTATGTATGTATGTATGAAAAATAGAAAGAATTTTTTTTTTTATTTCTTTATAACGCAGGTATTACATGTATATACGTTTGTGCGTACATTCGCAGCACTTGCCAGACGGAAACGGTTGGTTTACTTTAAGCATACAGCATAAGTAACATCCAGAAATTTATATATAGATTTGAATATTAATCTAATATGCGCTTAATATCGCTCAGTAACGGCTCATCTCGACGAAAGCTTCACACCAATTGCATAGCATGTTGCGTAGCATGTTGCATAGCCTTGTCACCTTAACCGCGGAACGACGAAATCCAAACTTTTCCGATTTGTCCGCAAGGAATGTTAATAAAAAGTTGCCTCGATATGACGAAAAATCGATAAATTCGAGTCACAAAAAGCGCGTTATCGGGACGATGCCATTGGCCATGAAAAAGAAAAGAGGGACGCAAAATCCGCAATATAATCTTAAAGACTTGAATAGAAGCGATCTAGCGGATCTAGCGCAAGGGCGAGTCCCATAGACATCAGTTAAATATTTGATATGATGTTGATGTGTCGTAAGCCTCTCGTAAAAATAACGCACTTTCGCAAACATACGCTCGCCATAGAAATAAAGTAAATTTCAATGCGTTCGTTCTTATCAGCAATTTGTAAATTTTTATCGATATCGACTTTTGTAAAATTGATTTCAATATTCATCTATGTCGAAATCGAATGTGATCGATCTTCTCTACTCTCTCTCTACTATTACACTTTCATGTTATTATATACGTTTATAGAAATATAAATGAAAGTTTAGCAAGCCCCTATAGTTTGCTCTGAACTAATAGATATCCCAGATTTCCCTTGAAACGAATATAGTTTTCTTACATTTTTTTTTTCTTTTTCTTTTATTTGCATTTCTGATGTCAGTGCTTGAAAGTAACTAACTATTATACGTATTGTATGGGAAAAAATGTTTGTTCTCATTTTTGTATTTCTCACATATTTGGCCAACGAGCTAACTAGTTTATTGTTGTTGGTATTTTTCTTGTTCATTATAAACTTTTTTTTGTTGATTCTCGTTTTGCTTACGGCTTAATTAAAAAAAAAAAAAAAAACGCTCTATAGGTATGTGTGCGTTCTGTGATTGTTATATGTATGATATATGCGTATGAGTCCTGTTTGCCCGCTGGGATAACAGACATTATTTAAATCAGTTGTCAGTGTGTGTGTATATGTGTGAAATAAATTTACTTAGCTTTCATCAACCATAACAGCAACACTAGCAAATGAAGATTATGTATATGATATGGATACATGTGTGCATAAACGTAAATATTTTGCTTAACTTCAATTGAATTTTCCTGTAGACGTAAAATCAAAATAAAATAATGGCTTTCACTTGGATTTATAACCAATCAATCATGTGCTACGCCATGGCTGGCTGGCTGGCTATTCAAAACAAAAGTCGGCAAAATTCTGCAAATGCCATCTCACTCTTTCACACTCGCCGTCTCTCTTCCCCGTTAACGGCATATTTCAACTTGTACGTGTCGGACCGATGAAAGGCGCTTAACTTTCAACAAAAAAAATTCAACTCAATTCTTTTTTTTCCTCCTGTTTGCCTTTTTTTTTTTTTTTTTTGTCAAATATTTGCATTTCAGCTTACCGTTTAGTATATAGTTTAGTCAGCGTTAGTCAGCACACTGCAATACGAATTCCGCATAACGCGAAGAATATATAAAGTTTTTAATTAATACCCGGAGATCTCTTCTCTTTTCAATTTCTATACTTTACACATTATTTGAACATTTAGCCAATTTTTGGCATATTAATGCTGATAATAAATTGAAAATTGCCTTTTTCGTTTTGTTATTGCTTCGCTTTCAATATTTGGGATTAAGTAAACAAATGAAGAGAAGCATAGTTGAAATGCGTCTTATATATTAATTATTGTTTGGTGTGTTTTTTCTCATTTTAAATCGCTTTCTCCGGCGGATGGGTGTCGACGGTACGGTCGACTTATCGTTTCGTTTGGTAAAACCCACAAATCATAGGAAATCATTATGAGCGTGTCGTACCAAGCCAGACCAGCTAATGCGCTTCTATCGCCCATCGTTGTGGCACCCAATGGGCTTGTCGTGGTCGTAAAATTTCAAGTTAGCACATAGAGGCGTTCTATTATTTTGTTGCTTACATTTCAATTTATGTCGTGAGATTTGCTGATAAATGCTTTATATGCGATTTCGCAAACGAATAATTGAATAGCATATCATATATGCCACGTCATTAACACGATCGGAGAGAATAAAATCGCGAATATTAGTGATAATCGGACTTTGTAATTTATACATTGCTCTCTAGATGTTGTTTTTTTTTTTTTTTTTGACCATACACCCAGAGGATGTTTCCTATACGGGTAGAACGGTGAGAAATGCAGAAATAGAAAAGAATAGGAAGATGGCCACACCCTTGTTGTGGATGCGTGTCATTAACCGATTAGGCACTCACTGTAGCTAAGAATGAAGTAAACTTTACTGAACTGAGGCTAGAATCCGCGAACATTGACTTGATAGTCACGATTCTTACCAACTCTGTTACTTACGAAAGGGAAAGAGGAAGGTCTGAGATGCTCTTGCATTAAATAGTTTGAAAAATACTGGACATTCACGGACTTTAGTCGAATGTTTGCAGTCCGTTTCAGACGTCCTCGTAGCGCACATATATTCTTAATTGATGGTCAAAAGTTTTTTCATCGAAACTAAGCGTAATCCAAATGCGACACCACTTAGACAGCCAGCAAAAAGATATTAATTATAACCCGTACAAGGAACATTAATCTAGACTATGTCTGGCAAATTAGCGTCATTTAAAATTTCAATTCAAAATTTTAGTGCTACAAATGGTGTCGATCCTTTAAACCGGATATAAAATGACAAAGAAGAACTTAATTAAAATTAAATTACAAGATTTAGTTTATATAACTTAAGATGAGCTACATATGTTATATACTTTTTAAAGCCATTCACATGGCCACTGTAAGTAATGTTTGAACTAAAAACTGATCAATTGTTGTATTGTTGTGATTTAAGGTGAAAATGAAAGATTCGGCCCAACACGTATATAATATTCTTACTTGTTTGGCTGTTTACTATTTCCTTAAGAGGGTACGTTGCCCGGATACGTCCCATTTTAGCTACAATGAAAGTCACGAGTCCGATTATTTCATAAATACACACGTTACACATAAAATATATATATATATATATATATATATATATATATAGAAATAAAAAAAAATGGGCTTTGCATTGTTTGTGAACTGTTGCTTTTGTTTAATACTCTCAGGAATAAATTAAAATTTTTTCAGATTATCCTCAAAATATACACAATGAATTATTTATTGATTTATTTAATAATTTTGATACCACGCAACATGGAAGAGTACAGGTAGATTTGTGGAAAAAAAAATAAATACGCAAACTATAAAGTACTACAGAGTACGCATATATTTTATATGCATACCGATAAAAGGTATAATATATAGATGTAGATATAATATATATATATAGGTATGTGTATGTGTGTGTGTGTGTATGTGTATGTGTATATTTTCCTGTGCTAGGTGGAAACAAAAAATTTATATATTTTATATAAATATATATGCGTGCATATGTGTTTATTAAATTTCCCTACCGTAATTCAAGTCTCCAGGTTCAATTCCAACTGGCTATATCGGCATATATATTAATATTAATATGTGTGTGTATGAGCCTGTGTGTGTGCGTGTATGTGTGTATGTGTGTGTGTATGAATTATAATAGATACGAATTTACAATTCGCTCAAACATCTTGCGGGATCCCAAAAATAAGTAAATTAATCTTCCATACTAAAAAGAAATCGTACACGATGATCAACATTTGAGACTCATTTCAAGGCGAATATTGCTTCCCTTATCATCCCTTTTAATAAAATTTAAATAAATAAATAAGCCATTGAACTAAAGTTATATTAAATTTATGGTCAATTGTTCACAATGAACAACGTCCATAGTCAATAAGTGATTGAAAGTTTTTATACATTATTAACTGAAAGGATATAAGGAGGATGCCATGCATATGCAGTATGACAATGAAATAAAATAAATCCGGCCTTGACTGGTTAGCCTTGTAATGAAAATATAAAAACAAAAAAATAAAAAAAAACTGGCACACATGTGCTTAAACTTGAAACCGCAATTAGCTAATCGAGTTGGAAATTTGAAGTAAACCGAATTAATTATCTAATAAAAATGTAGCTAACCTGTGCCCTAATCAAGTGAACGTTCGTCCACACGAATAAAACAGTTATATTTGAAATGTAATTTTTCAAGGCCATAATTTACAAAGAATCACGATTTTTTGAACCACCACATTACTTACAATCAATGCTAATAACCATTTTTTTTGCGATATGAATTTTTATTAATTTTTTGCAAATACCGTAATTACTAATCGAGTCTCAACTTACTTGTTACTTGTGACTTTTTTTAAATATGAAAATTGATTTAAAAGTATGCTTCATAATATAAATATGAACTCACTCGAAACTCCGTATAGGTTTTCAATTACTCTTTGAATCAATTCAATTAATTTCGTTTCGTTTATTTCGCTGAGAAAACGGTCGATTTAAAAATGTTTTATTATCTTTTCATCAATGTTCAGAATCTCTTTATTTGCTTTAAAAGTGATTTGTACAATACGCGCACATTATATATTGTTTTATATATTTATATTTATATATATATATATATATATATATATATGTGTATAAATATATTTATATATATATATATATATTTATATATATATATATTATATGTTCAATTAATTTAAATAATTAAAATTAATTTTTTCCCTTCGACTCCGTCCATAGCCTAAAATTCTAACCAATGTGTACCGATATGCATGCTTGCACATTAGGAAATACTGAACAGTAACAAACTCACATACACAAACGCACACACCTACACATAACACTAGATAACAGTACTTGTACTTTATACTTATGCTATTTGGAAAGCAGATTCAATACAATATCTTCCGCATTTTATATCTACAACTCATGACGGCTCAACTCGAACTGTGACTTAAGGTTAATGTTTCGCAGTTATTTAGAGACTCACTTTTCATATGCTCGCTCCCTTTCCATTCCTTTGACTTATTCATACCACAATTCCTGCACAATTCTTTCTCATACTCTTCTCGTCACAATTTTCCAAAATCAAAGAAAAAGGAAAGATTCACTTTCTCTCTATCTTTCTCTCTCCCTCCCTCCCTTCCTCTCTCTCGCTCTCTCTCTCTCTCTCTCTCTTTCACTTTCTCTCTTCCAGCTAGTACAGTAGTAGAATAGTTAAAAAATAGTTAGAACACCTGTCGTGGTTTATATAAATTTTCAATAAAACGTATACAAGTATACATAATATACGCTACGTACTCAGAAGCAACAGCTTTAACTATCCTATCCCTGGATGCAATGACTCGATGCCGACACTCTCCGTTCTTCAAATGAGAATAAACAGCTGATGTTTACCTCTCTTTGATTGAAAAAAGAGGATATAATAAAAATATGTATATATATATATATATATATGTATATATATGCATATACATTTTTGTTTTTTTTTTAATATTCTCTGCACATATATCCTGTATAGAGGGTTGCCACAATTACCCATACAAACACTTATTTTTAGCATTTCTTTAATCATGATAGCAAAAAACATAAAGTTGCTTGAGCGATAAACGTTAAAATTAATAAAACAAATCAAACTAAAAATTAAATATAATAAAAATAATAAAAAGCGGAATGAAATAAAAAGAAAACTTTGAAGAAATCATGAATAAATGAAACAAAAAAGAAACTCCTTTACGCAAATCTCTCCTAAGCTTTTTTAATTGTGGGCATGCCAGCAAAGCGAAAATAGAAAAAAATAAGAAAATTATATTTGGCTGGAGCCGAGTCTTGCTCACCTAAAAATATTGTCGTCACGTCCGCGGTATTTAATTTGTAACTAATACGCTTAGCTTGTCGCATTCTACTCTCAGAATTTTCTTACTTGATACCCACATCGATGATATTGTGGTGGAAAAGTGAATTTACCACGTCGTGACGTCCGCCATAATTAATTTAAAATTAACGCATTTTTGCCCAAATAATGGATCTTCACTTGAGGAATGTGCAAAGTCGTGGTAAACATTTTGCTTTGCTTAATAACCATAAAACATCAAAGAAATGCAAAAAAGAAAATTTACATGTTCTTATAACTTTATGTGGGCGTGGCCGATTTGTTCTATTTTTGCACATAACCAGATTATTAAATGTAGAAAATTTCAGCTTTCAATCGTTTATAATTTGTGAGTAATGAAGAAAAAAAATGCACAACTTTTTGGTTAGAGAAACCGAGTGGCGTTCAGTTTACGCTTTGCTGCGGGCGTGTGGTCTAACCAATTTACCCCATTTTCAATATGAACCTGCGTGCAGAAACTTCCAATGTTCCACAAAAATGCACAGATATACAGACGGACAGACATGGTCTAATTGTTTCAGATTTTGGCGCTGAACAAGAAAAAATATGCCTTTTGAGATCTCTGAGATTTCCTTTTGGGTGGGTGCAAACATTATGACAAAATGAATATACCCCCATTCTTCGGTAGTGGATATAATAAATTTAAATTTATGTTTTCAGCTCAGACCGAATTTGCCAATAGCATGTGCTGAAGTGAATCGAGATTTCAATCAATTTTAATAAGTATGTCGCAAATTGAGTCATCCCTAGGTAAGTAACTACTAAGAATATAGAAGATTTCGGAGGTATCGCTAACATAATGTAGACAACATTTGCTTCGTTTTTACTTACAAGTTGTTTATAAACGATCTCCCGTCCATATGCAATTTTCCCACCTCGTGATATATGCAGATGACGTGGAACTGATCTCCTCCTTCTATACTGAACATTATTCAATTAGGCTGGATGGTCCTCAACCGATTTCTTAACAATAAATTCAAGTATATGGAAGAAACTATCCTTCTCAACAAGGAGTTTGCTCACAACAAAATATTTCATCGAGTCACATAAATTGCAGAATATAAAGACGTTTCGTGGTCCTAGTCGAGTATTATCTGATAATAAACTCTAGTTTAATTTATACATTGGACTCTCTATTTATAAAGCAAGCTCGGTAGCTGGCTTCATTAAGCGCTGGTCGTGATCTGTCTATCGAAGAGAGATTATATGTGTCGCTGCTTTAAATCTACACTGGAATAGGCTTCTGTCCTTTGATCTCCGTCCTATCGTTGTCGTGTAGGCGCTATTCAATCACTTTGAAAGTAATTGTGCCTTTTTGCGTTAAGCAATTTGTCGCGGGATCCCCAAGCTTCATTATCACAATATAAAAACAGATTATTGCTGTATATCTGGCAAAACGTTTATATCCCAATGATATGTAGATACACTAGAAATGTCAGATTTTTAGTCACGCTAATAAATAGTGCTGTAGATTAATCCGTCCCGTTAAAGGAAGCTTATCTCCATATCGAACTCAATACAAACCACAAAAAAAAGAGTATCTATAGTGTTCGGACACTGCCCATATCATGCCTTAGCAATACACAAAACTAATTAAGTCATCTAACGAAGTTAGCTAACACGGTATTGAATTAAGCATCAATAAACGTCCACTTGCATCCCGATGCTTATGATCGTCAAGCTTCCGAGTGGGACGCTAACGATCTTTACCTCTTCTCTCACTTTGCATTCGTTCTCCTACTATAATAATATATTTTTCTCGTGTACTCATTAATTTAGTATAAACGGTAATAAACTGGACTTCTATATACAAACGCTCTAGAAATAATGAAACTTTAAAAGCCTGTCGCTGAATTGAAATGAAATAAGTGAAATGAAATTTTCGCTTATATAAAATTAACTCCTGAAGCATATGCCAAATCCATTGGAGAAACTGTGAAATGACATTTTTGCTCTCTACGCTCTCTAACGTAAGTCAGCCTGACAAAGCATTTACTAAATAATGAAGAGATCATCAAGTTAATTGCAAATAATAAGTTGCCTTAGTATCACGTGTCGCTATGTGAAATATTCAAAGGAAATTGATCGCTCGGTTTAAATGATTCAATTGATTCAAATATAGTCAACGCTATAAATAGGTGGCAGAGTAAAACTCAGATATAAATTTAACTTTTTTGGTTCTTTGTCGTACATATATCGCTATGTAATAACATAAGCAGAAGAAAGTTATTAATGAAAAAAAAAAAACTGAAACAAATTTCTTTTTACGCTCGCATATATGCAAAGCATATGTGAAACGAAGAAAAGCATTCATTCAAATTCTGTAAATTAAAGAATTTTTTTATTAATCTTTCAATCAAAATAACGCATACAAATTTATACATGTACATATACATATGCATATGTGTTTATATAAACTGGGATCAATAAACAAAGTGAATTTGTTTACAAAATGAAAAATCTTTATTTATCATCATCTTCGTCGCCTTCACGACGCTCACATAAAATGACCTTTTAAAACTTTTGGTCTAACGAAAGAAATTCAAAATGCATAGCATTGTGATGATACCGAAAAAATGATGATCAACTTGAGCTTGACCTTTGAGCGACTTTGAGACGATTTTCCCCTCTAGACCCACCTTTCGCTCAGTTTTCCAATTGCTTACAGATCGGACGGTTAAGTTCAGATCTGATCTGCCGTAATTGCGGGTTTCATGACGGCGCGGTTCTCAGTAATCATTGCTTCACAAACACAGCAAATAAAAATCGAAAAACCCAATTTTATACGTTTAAAAAAAGAGATTTGTGGCTCTGCAAATATTGATTACGTTGCTTAGGTTCTCAAAGGCAGCAACGACCCCAATCCGTAGAAAAAAAAAAGAAAAAATTCCTGATTTCATAGTACCCGCGAAATATAAATAAAAAATTAATCTCATTAACGCTTCTTTCTGTACATCCTTCCACCCGTTAGGGTGCGATTTCTGAGGAGGAATATTTAAGATCAACTTTACTGCTCTAAATAAAGTTCGGTTTTTGGTAGTTACAAAAAAATTGGGGAAAAATTATTAAATTTCGGGTTCATTTGGTCACACCGTACGAGTGAAAAAAATATTAATCTAAACAGCTTTTGATGACGTAAGCGTAAATTTAATAGAAAGGCAAAGAACTTTAGCTAATTCGCTTTATATGTATGTTATGGCGTATTTCTACATCTATCGAGTATCTGACAAGTCAAACAAGGTCCTCTTTAATTAATCCACTATAAATTATCTTTTATAAATGAACAGTCGAACTCGATTGAGTCTTAAAAATTCATCCTATGCCAAGTATTCTTACGAAACTATAACGACGTGTAACAAAAAACAAGCATATCTAGCATAGGAACAGACCCGCGACAGGTTGCGGGGCCGAGTACTTAAACCGTTGAAAACATGTAAAAGCTAGACGACCGATGACAGTGAACATGTTCAGTTCAATTTGAAAATCATATCAAGGTATCAGAAATTAAAAATTAATTACGATACGACAAAAACAAAGCGTGTGTATTAAGGTGGGTTGATTTGATAGCATTTAAAGAAATCGATATTGAGATTAAGTTGTTGATATCATTCAGATTTTTGCAAGAGATCCGTATTGGTTGAGCAAAAGGTTTCCAGAAAGTTTCCAGAAAGAAACGGTTCGAGATATTGAAGTGCATCTCACCAAGTAATGCCGCAACGAGTCTATAGTA